AACTGGCTTATTGGCTGTGAAAGTAAAAAGGACAAGTTGCGTGACCAGCAGTTTCAGAGGTATGCACGTGTGCTGCTCACAGAAGCTAGGAAACAGAAAATATAACTTTCTTCTGTGCTGTTTCTGAAGAACTATGAGTAATTATGGTTTGCATTTACCCCAGGAATGTATCAATTCAGTGGATTTTGTTGATGTTTCTTTGCATTTCAGATTATCATTTGAGAGAAAGGGCAAGGCAACTGGTGTAAGGCATTCAGGAGTGGAAGTGTCCTCTGCGCATTGATGTTACTGGCTGTGCAGGCTCCAGGCAGCAGAATTGGGGCCATTTGCATCTGATCCCTTCTGATGCCAGACTGGAAACCAGAATTTCGTAATTCATTGTAGAGCAGTTATTTGAAGTCTTTTCTGGTTCAAAATGAAGCCTCGCTGCATGCATTTGACAGAACTTCAAATAAAGAAAGGTTGACATAGTAAAAGGAAAATTTTCCAGTACACTTATCTTCAAGTAGAGCATCTGGTGTGTTGATTTTACAGGAAGAGTGATAGAATATAACTAATAAGATTTGTATGGAAAGCAACAATCAGAAGCTATTGCAATCTTTTATCTATCTAAATGATAATGGGAAATTAGTGTTATTTGTGCTGTTCTTAAACTGGATTTTTGTAGTGTTTATTCCGAGAAAGAAAGGAAGAAAGAGACAAAAAAAACCCCAACCAAACAAAACTGTTGTTGCATTCTAAATATCTGTTTGAATAAATCATTACTTGTTTCAGTGACCAGCAAAGCTATTAAATTCAAGATAAGCCACAAGTGCTTCAGAACTTAAAATTACGAAGAGAAGCATGCATACAGGGTACTTTCACTTGTGTTCATGGATAAACAGAATACAGAAGGCATTAATTACTTTGAAAATGTTTTGCTAGTCTTGTGTTTCAGTGGTTAAAATTACCATGAAGTTCTTTCTCTGCATCCTGAATACCTGGACATTTCATCAGGGGTACTTGAGCACAGAAACATTCATGTGACTGTCTTTGCTGGAAGAAGTATGCAAGTTTTGTGTAGTAAGCTGATGTTTGTTGGTTATGGAAATGTTTAGGTTTAGAAGCTACCTAACTATCTGTCTCTGTCTTCAAAATGGCTTTTATAGCCCTACCACCTAATAGCTAGCTGTGTAGTATGCAGGTTTGCAAGACTCTGTTTGAATGCCACCTGACACAGGACAAAGGTTAATTATGTTTGAAGAATAGCTGTGTTTTGCTGTGTGTAAGCCAGAATGCACAGAGGCAAATGGCATTATTTGCAAGAAGGTTTGTAGATGCTGTCAGAGTTTTGGAGAAGCCTTTTTGGTTGGTTTCTACCACAACACAATGTTCTGTTATGCAAAATCTGGACAGGGCTAGTTTCTTCCTTGTGGTGGCGTTTATATAAAGAATCCTGGTTACCACATGGTTCTGGAGGGTGTGGGGTCCAGATGAGGGTCTGCCAGAACAGGAATGAAGACCTAAGTGAGAAAAGGAAAAGAGCATCACTAGAGAATGTAGAAAAGCACACTTTCTATGCTAAACAGGACTGGAAAAAAGGACATATTTATTAAACCTTAAATGCAGTCAACAGATCTGCTATTCCTGTCATCTCTACAAATCTATCTGTTAACAGATTCCACCTTCCCTCTACATGTTGTTTCCTCAACATATGTAGGTGGCTAAACATTGATAAATGTTTTTATTTGAAGTGGAACTTTTGTTTCACTCTAATACCTGACGTTACACTACTAATCAGAGGTTTTCAGCCTATAAATGTTAAGTGTTTTCCTCTCAGGTGTGGTTTAAAATTCTCGGAAATGTGTTTCGCAAGTGTTTCCTGTAATAGCTTTGAGAAGTCTGAGCTGATGAATTTTTTTTGTAAGGTACTCATGGCCATCGCTTGCCTTTCTGTTCAGGTTAGAGGCCTTTGTGTTTCCTCTTTGAGAAGGTAAATACAACACACTACCTTGTAGCTGGAGAAACAAGAATGGTCTCAGTTCACTCTGAGGCATGCTGGAGATGTTGTAGCCTCTATGGGAGAAACAGAATTAGTTCTGCATCTCTTCAGTACACATACTGAGGTTTTGATTGCTGACTTCTTTAAGGTATTACAAGAAGGAAAATAAATACCTGCTTTCTCCTTCTCAGTTAGCTAATAACCATTTTTCAGTATTGCTGTTACTATCTGGAGTAAAGAGACTTCACTCAGAGCTGCTTGATAAAATACCTTGGTACATGTTTTCCCTGGAGCAGGTTCACTGCTGTGCCAGCAATATCGGCTGCAGGCCAGTTTAAATCACTTAAAATATGCATTATCATCTTCCTTTTTTTAGACGCATAAATATAAACACTTTCTGGCTGCGGCAAATGACTGTGGAATGAAAATACTGAGAGAGCAGGGAGCGGGAACGGAAGGACACAAGGATAAAAAGAACTTGGTTATGTACTTCACCCCCTTTGCGGGCAGCCCTTGCTCCTTATTTTCCACCTGCTTGACAGGCAGGGATGTGCTGGTGCAAATGAAGATGCTCAACTGCTTCAGCGCTTATGGAAGCAGAAATAAGAATGAATCTACTAAAATACCCGTGATCAAAGAGGATGGCTGTGTTGTGGTTTTTGTTTGTTTATCAAGATTACAGTAGGGGACTTTGCCAAAAGGGAGTCAGATGAGCTCTTTGCAGCATTGGGTAGAACCGCTCGCTGGTGTAGATTACAGATTTGATTTCATTGCTAATGCAGATTTAAGGTGTGATCACAAATTTAGTTGTCTGTCTCTTTGTATCATCTCCATTATCATAGACTGTGATCGGATTCTGCCCTTCAAATTCAGGTATTTACAGTACAGACTCTGTCTGGGAAATGTCTGTCTAGACTCTTCTTTTGGTTACAGGACAGAAATAGCTGCATCTGGAGTGTGGTCTGTCTCACTCCAGTGTACCTTGGGCCTGAACGGGCCAGATGAGTTGAACTCAAGTTCCTGTTTCTCTCCATTGACATAAAAAGAGAATGTGGAGAAGCAGTTCACAGAAGGTTATTCTTGTCGTGAAAATCTAGTGTTAAGGAGACCATTCTGATCCTGAATGTCTACAATTATGTAAGCGTAGTTCTGAAAGCATGCAGTTTCTGTCACAGAACCGTAATTGGGTATTATTGTAAAGGCACAGGCTGATAAAAGAGGTAGCCTTGAGAATATCTTGAGAAAAATGCATTGTCTGTCACCTGCATGGTTAAAAAAAGCACATGCATACACATACATGCACATACACGCATATACATATGCACTAAAATTGTAATTTAAAAGAAAAAGAGATATCACTGCTAGAACGTGGCTTTCCTATGCATAACTTATGAGCTACTGTTTTTCATTACCTGTAAGGAATGGCATACTGTTAACTGATATAGAGAACAGACACCAATTTGAAAACAATACATTTTTTGAAAGGTGCCAAGTCTGTTCAGGTGACAGGTTTTGAAAGCACTGGAGTACAAAAATATATTTTTAACTAATGATTTAGATGAATGTGAATTCTCCTAGAAGAACTGTGGTTCACAGCGGCTTTTCCATGTTACAGAATGGAACTATGAGGCTGTGCACTGGCTGAAATTGTACAGATATATCATGCTTTGATGCGTGTTCAGTTTTTCCCCTTTAAAAAGCTATTTTATTGAAGTTAAATTATTGTAGGGATATGAAAAGGTGCAGTTTGCTCTGAATTTATCCTTGGAGGGCCAGCAGATCATTGCTTTTTTTCTGAAATTAGATAGAAGGATCCAGATGGCAGATTTCAAGCCCATCAGGTGTTTAAAATATGCCCCTCAGCTAAAAAGAAGTATTATAGTTAAATCTGTCATGGCCTTTTTATTGCTCTGTGGTACACTTGACAACTGCAGCCGTGAAAGAGAGAAGCTACAAGTAGCCCAGTCAGCCTGAAGTGGAGTAGGTCACTGGTTGGTTTCTTTGGCTGCCCCAGCGAGTTTGATAGACGTGCAGACCTGGTTTATGGAATCACTAAATCCATCATGGTATAAGCTCCCATGGAAGCAGTGAATTTGTTCCCATAGTTTCTTCCAGATATTACGGTAGGCATTAGGGAAGTAATGTAAGTGAAATGTGGAGGGGAGAAAAAAAAGACACCCTCCCCACCCCCAACAGAACAAGAATCCCACATCTCTAAGGACTCCTCAGTAATAATAATAATAATAATAAAGTGCATCTGGGCTGGTACCTTGTACTGCATTTCTCAGCTGGCACTCATTCAGAACTGTCATGTTAGTCTGAGTGCTGGTAAGTCGTATCCCAGAATCCTTTTATCTGAACAAAGCAACATCTCCACTGTGTGCTTTTGGCAAAGGAGATGCACTGCTTTTCAGATATATTTAAAAAGCAATACAGGCTTTTCTTTGCTTCTTGACGCACTGCTGCTAATCATGAAGAAAGAGCAAACCTGTTTGTGCTCTTGTAGTAACTATAAGTACTTGCAGTCAAATGAGTTTTTAGCAGAGGGGTGATTACTGCCTGATTCAGAGAAGAGGATATATTTGGGTTATTTATTTGTGTGCATATGTAGATGTTTATATAGACACTGATTTGGGGAGGCTGATGCAGTTTTTGCTGCTTTGCTTCTTCTTGCTTCTTTCTCCAATTAAAAAAAAAAGCAAACCCACAACCAGACAAAGCAGACACTTTCTTTGTTTATTCAATAAACCATAGGGGAGGATAGCCTATAACCTGGTGTGTGTTAGCAAGAGACTCGTTTTGTAAGAGAAGAGAGCAAAACCTTTACCTGGAAGGCCATATCATTGTAGTCCTGCATAAGCTGTCTGTAATAGCTCTGGTGAATTGTAAGCGTTATTTCTGAGTGTGAATGTGCATGGCTGGAGCAAAATGAAGTGCCATTAGTAATGCCCCTTTTATGAAAACATTACCCTGTGACAAGGTCATCCTGAGTTAACCGTGCTGATGTCTGAACTCTTCCTGTGATTTCAGATTCCAGCAGGGCGACTACCACATCGATGTCTGTATCAATGACTACCTGGATGTGTTCTGCCCTCACTATGAAGACTCGGTGCCAGAAGATAAGACCGAACGCTACGTTCTGTACATGGTGAACTTTGATGGCTACAGCTCCTGCGATCACACCTCCAAAGGGTTCAAGAGGTGGGAGTGTAATCGGCCGCATTCCCCAAATGGACCGTTGAAGTTCTCGGAAAAATTCCAGCTCTTCACGCCCTTCTCGCTAGGATTTGAGTTCAGGCCAGGCCGGGAATATTTCTACATCTGTGAGTATATAGAGATTTACCACTGTTGCACAGCAGGTACTAATTTTTCACCTATACTCTGTGGAAGTACAGAGGGCCAAATGGTATATAATGCAGACATCTTACAGTGAATGCAGGCTTAACTATCCCCAGATACATTAGCTAGGAATCTAGCTAGTGAAAATGAGATTAAATCACAGCTTCTTGTCTCACATGAAATAGCATGTCAGCCTGTTCACTGAACCATGGCTGACTTTTAAAGCAAAATGCATTACTGCGTTTCTTCCAGCACTCTGAGGTGGAGGAGGAGGAGAGGGCAAGAAGGGTAGGATGGAAGCTGTCCCCAAATATGAGGAAAAATAATTAATCCTTTGCATGTGAAATTCCTGGATTTTCTTACTTGCTCGATGAAGTACTCTTGTCTCTGTCATATTTGTTGCCCGAGGAAAGTGAGGTCTGCGTAGTTGGTAAGTGGTATGGCTGCTGATGTCAGTAGTCCAGAAATTTTTAGAGTTGTAATTTCCTAGCATAAATAACTCCTAGCATCAAGCCAAGTGGCTCCTTTTTTCTTCCTTCCTATTTTTTCACCCTGTTTCTCTCAAGACAAGCGGTTTCAGTCGGTGTGGGCAATGTGGGTGGGAGCAGGTGGCAGGCAGGGGAGTGTGAATGGGCTGGTGCACCTTCACGACTGAGCAGTGGGGAGCATCCTTTCAGAGCTCTGTGCCCTCCTCCGCGGGGACCTGCGTCTGGGCTGTGCCAGGCGCCTGGAGGAGATGCAGGGTAATGTCTGGGGCTAAGGAAGTAAAAACATCAGGAGGTTAAAAACCAGTGGGTTGAGCTAACCAATTCCCTGACCTCACTGTGCAGTTGATACTGCTTTAGCTGTCTTGTTTGTTTAATCCTCCAACAAAGATCTTATTTCAGCAATTTGTTTTGTACCTGAATCTTCCACTCCTAACAAGTTTTGACTGCTCCAGCAATATTTTTTTCTCTGTTTTTAGTGTTTGACTAGAGAGTTGAAAGCTTTAGACAGACCATAGATCCCAATAAATATTGCCTTCATATGTGTAGCTGGCCTTTCTACTGTGAAACAGTCATTCCACCTCATTTCACTAGAGAAACTGAGTATGTATGATCCCTGTTTTTCAGCCTCATTTCTTCAGCGTTGAGCTTTTTCTTCTCCCTTTCTAAATCTACAGGGAAATACATTGCTAGTGGATAGTTTTCCAGTCATTTCTTGTTCTTCCAGCAAATAAAAAACTGTAATGAGTGGTGGTTCAGCATCAGAAGAACAATGCGTTATTATTGTGTTGAAGCACAGTTATAATAAGAATATTGCTAAAAATAATTTTAAAAAGCAAACTGTAATTTTACTTAAAACTATTCTTTAGTAAGGTCATGAGAAATCACATAAAGATATCATTTATGTGGATAATGTTCTAGGATAAACAAATCTGTACTGTGGAGGCCCAGTCCTACTTGTGTTGTTTGTTTTGGGGTTGTTTTTTTGGTTCAGTTACTCAGCATCATCAGTAAAACAAGCAGGAATACTTAAGCTAATGAAGTCGTTACCATCACATGGTCGCAGTAAAATGTAGCACAGGGATGGCATCAGTAGCTGCAAGCATTTTAAATATAAATTTTAAAAAGCCCCCAACAAAAGATTGGTTTTCTAAATTTTTAAAAAAAGAAAGAGAAGTGTTTGATAAAAGTGAAAGCCAAACATGAAAGTGAAAGAAAAAAATAGGGGAAATCTCAGCTTGATCTGTCTAGCTAATAGCTTTATTGTTAGAACATACAAAATCCATTGAACTCTGAAGCTAGACATTATTATTCAAATACACCCAGGTTGCTTATGCCTGGTTTTCCTCATTTGTGGTTAAATTCAGTATTTCACTAAAGATCATTATGTCTTCTATAACATTCATTTAACTGAGTCATTTAGCTGTCAAGGGCTCCCTTAGAAATAATTGTTCCAAAGTGCTTTAAAATATGAAGAGCTTTATGATATTCAACTGCATTTAGATGGAATTATTTTTTTTTAATGAAAGGTAAAATAGCAAAAATTTAGCAGCAAAGAGATGTTCATTTACTAGTAGCTTATTGGCCTGTTATTCACTGAAATTTAATTTTTATGCAGGTTTCAGAGACACAAAAGCTTTTTTCCTCCTTTTCTGTAGTTTAGGTATTTTTTACCTTCATCCTTCACTCTGCTGAGGACAGTAACAAGGTTGACAATGCAGCAGTTGCAGGGAAGCACTGTACACTAAGTTAACGGTTAAATGCAGACTTTCTCAGGGGAGAGTTGTCCATCCTGGAATGAAGAAATGAGATGGTGAAACATTGTTCGTTGTTTCCTCATCAAAACTGTAAGCAGGCTGTAGTCCAGGCTACAGAGACCACCTTTGTTACCTCTTTGTATCTGCATGTGAAAGAAATCACTGCTTCTCCAGGGAAGTTTTCCTTTCCTCTGCAAATCTGAAACCTTTTCCCTCTCTGCAGGAGATGGGGAAGGCTTACTATGTACCATCGAACTGGTATATTCTGTTTTAGGCTTACAAAATATGTCATGTAGTCTAGACCTCTGGAAAGACAGAAATATGAAGTGGTTGGTTAGGTATTTAGCTTAGTTATTGTCAGTTTGGTGCTTTTTCAAAAGCCTTTGCAGTTTACCTTTTAAGGATGTGACTTGCCTCTCTTCCATTATTTTCAGAAAATGCAATAATATAAGAACAATCACTGTCTGCTTTTCTGAAGTGTTGGTTTTCAAAATGTGACTTTTCTTTGTTGTGCCATTGCCTTCGTATGTTGCTCAGATGAAGTAGGATCTCCCTTCTTTGCATGTTCATTCTAGGAAAATACAAGGAAAAAGACGTCTTTCTGATATCAAATTTACATTGAAGTAGTGAATTTAACATTGCAGACATGCAATCAACAAGTACTGATTGAGTTTACTTTTGAAAGAAGAAACTATTATTAAATATTTACAGATAAATTAACTTTTATTTAGTTAGGGAGTACACAGTGCAGGACTGGGGAAAGTAAATAATAGATTATGACCTGAAGTCTCAATTCTTACTTAGTTCTTAGCAGGTGCTTACTGCAGGTTAGTGTATGTTAGCCTGAGAACAGACAAAATAGTATTACTGCTGAAACACAAGGAAACAAAACATAGAGAAAGCAGAACCTAAATACTTAGTGGTGTGACAGTGATTTTAATGTCCTTCAGAAGGGAAAGTAAGCTTGGGTATGCAGGTTAAGGTGGGGTACTGTGCAAGGGAAGATGAACACAAAAGCAAGGAAGGCGGGGGAAGAACCTAAAATGCATAGTGTTATGTAATTGCATGATTCAAATTGAGAGTATCATTTTCATTACTTTAGCTTAATTATAGGTGTTTTATTTTTGTTGATGTACTAAGTATTGAATAAAATACCAGTAACAACTTGGCAAATCTACATCAGAGCTGTTGAAATAAAAAAATGAAGGCAAGGCTAGAACCAGACTGCTGCAGCTTATGCAGAATGCTGACCACAGTTTCCAAACCAGGCTCCTGTATCAGTTTAAGCTAGACCACATTGCTCTTGTCTTGAGAGCAGTGTATTATTGGTGCAGTGTCTGAACTTGTACTAATATTAAGCTGTAGCGTATGCTTTTCTCTGAACAATCAGTCCATTTATTCCATCAAAGATTTTGTTATCTGACATGATTTATGCTTAAGACATCTGTGCTGTTTTTATCATCTTATCCTCCAAGGTTTCATATATGTTGCTTATTTAGTCATTTTATGACAGTGAATATTGTCTTTTATATATGCTTATACCTTTTTCCTAGAGAGACTGGGTAGGTTTGCTCTTCTTCACAGTCCTCTTGCTGCTTTCCTGTTCTCCGTAAGATCTTGGAGGTTTTTGCTAGCAATTAGCAGGCTTTACATGTAATTTATCTAAACTTAACTTTAATGGTTCTTTTTCCATTTTTATTGACAAATGAGCGCCTTTCATCTTTTAAAAATCCTGTTGTCTTACCTGTGGCTTATTTGTGTAACTTTTTTTGTACTGTTTCTTTCTAGTTTTATCTCATGCATGTGTCTTTCTTATTTTATTTCAAAATGCTTATGCTGTTTCTCTGTATCACCTTTAATGATGTGTCATTATCACTGTGTCTTTGTTGTAACCATTTATTTGCATGAACCTTCTGATTGCCAATTCAGGAACCTTTTGTTGTAACCATACTGCTCCTGACCACACCGAGATAGTATGTTTTTACAATCTGAATTTAATTATGGTTATGAATAATATTTTTAATCATTCTTAAATTTGTTATTAAATTAAGAACCTGAGTTTGTAAAATTCTACTTACAGTTGTACGTACACTTATTATTAATAACATCCAGCTCTCCTATACTCCTTTTTCTCACAGAATCTGTTCCCAGGGAACCTGCTATTACCTGTCCGCTTGATTTTCTTAATATTTGCCTTTGTCCCCTGTTGTCCTTGCTTCTCTGTACTAATTCCTTCTTTTCCTGATATTTCTGACTCTTACCACCTGAGGGTTTTTATTCAAATGTCATTCCACCCTGATGGTCTTAGCTGCTGCTTCTGAAGGAGAATTTGTGATTTTCATAATTTCATGTGTAAAATTGCCCCTCTTCTGTTAGCTTGTTCCACCTCTGTGACTGGACATTGTCCTCACCATGTTCCAAAAACTGTGGCACAGTTTGAATCCTGCTGTCGTTTAACAGCTCTCAGATAGTTGAACTATCTCTGCAGCCATCTGCACACCTCTGGAGGCTTCTCTGATTGAAAAGATGTTAAGGAAAAAACAGTCACAGAAGACGTGTTCATAGTATCTCCACTTCTTTTTGTCATACTTTTGTCTTTTATTAGGTAGTTGGCTTATCTTATTAATAAGGTCTCTAGCTGAACTCTTGTTGAGGCAGTAACAATCTCTTAGGATTAGTTTTGGTATAGCAAGAATTAAGAAAGGGGACTTCGTAGAGGCAAGGTTGAATAGCATGTGATAC